AGCACACCTGCATTTCAGCCAGTGCAAAGGTGACAAAGGTAAGTGGAAGCTATAATCTTTCCCTTGAATGGAAGAACTAGCAATGGCACACTTCTAGCTAGCTAGCACTTTGTCACCTAGTCACACCTTCATGCAACTGAAGCTGAAAAATGTTTTTAGCTAGGAGGCCATATTCCCACTAAAACTTAGGATTTGCATTACTAAAGGAAGAAAGGAGACTACATAGCAACTTCTGCCCACAGGAGACAATAAACACAAGGTCTGGCTTTACCAGTGGCCTCTCAAATCTAGAGGGATAAAAGGCCTATAAATGGAAGTCTAGAGGTGGATGGAACCCCCACCACCCTTTTGGTTGGTGATAGGCTAAAATAGGACCTTGTAAATGTGGGTTTGAAGCAGCAGGAATGTGACCAGTGTGCAGGGCCAGGTGTAACATACCTCTGTTAGGGGTTGAATTGTGTCACCCTAAAAAATATATTGAAGTCTTAACCCTAGAACTTCTGTATGTACCCTTATTTGGAAATGGGGTCTTTGCAGGTATAATCAAATTAAAATGAGGTCATTCTGGATCAGGTTGGGCCCCAACTCAGTGACTGATATCCTTATAAGAAAAGAGAAGCTGGGTGCCAGTGGCTCATGCCTGTCGTACTAGCTACTCAGGAGATCAGGAGGATCATGATTCAAAGCAAGCCCCAGGGAATAGTTCATGAGACCCTATCTCCAAACCACCCAACACAAAAAAGGGCTGGCAGAGTGGCTCAAGTGGTAGAGCACCTGCCTAGCAAATATGAGCAGCCCTTAGTTCAAACCCCAGTACCACCAAAAAATAAGAGAGAGAGAGAAATTTGTCAGACACAGTGGTTCAAACCTATAATCCTAGCTTCTTGGGAGACTGAGACTGGAAGGATGATGCTTCAAGGCCAGCCCAGGCAAATAGTTCATGAGACCCCCCCCATCTCTAAAATACCCAGAACAAAATGGACTAGAGGTGTAGCTCAAGCAGTAGAGTACCTGACTTGCAAGCACGAAGCCCTGAGGTCAAACACCAGTCCCACCCAAAAAAAGAGAGAGAGAAATTTGGACACAGACAGACAAAGGAAAAAGGCTGACAAGGCAGAAGTTGAAGAGATAGGCCTACAAGCCAAACAACACCAAGGATTGATAGTGACCACCAGAAGCCAGAAAATCAAGAAAGGATTCTTCCCAGAGCTTTCAAAGAGAGCATGACCCTGCCAGCTCCTTAATTTTGGACTTCTAATCTCCAGACCCGTGATAGAATAAATGTCTGTATTTTATACCACCCAGTTTGAGTATTTGTTGCAGCAGCCCTCAGAAATTAATATACCTTCTCTCCTCTTTCTGATCCCTAAAGCCTGATCTCATGAACCCCTAGGACAATGGTCCATAAGGCCCTGACATCGTAAGTGCTACTTGGGCTCTCTAAACCTTCTACCCATCCTCAAATTCACCTCACTATAAATGCTGCCTCGGCAATAATAGGAGATCCAAACCAGAACCAAATATTGGCACTGGCCAGACCAGAGTCTGAATGTGGAAACAGAAAAGGTGGAGATGTTTAGTGACAGGGCTATAAAACCGAGGGAATTGGTCTGAGATGGGTTCATCCCTCAGAAGAAAGACCAGGCTGGGTATGCCCACAGTGACTCAAAACAAATGGGTCCAGGCTATCACTATAAGCGGGGATGTTTAATTCCACCACTTCAGTTTCCAAACCACTTTCACATACAGGATGTTCTTTGGTCTTCAAAACCAGGCTGCATGGGTTGAAGAGCTCCGTAAGATCTGCGTTTGATTTGCAGGCAAGCAAATGGTCAGAGAGGTTAAGTAACAGCAAGGCATGGTGGTGCACCTCTGTAATCCCAGCAATTGGGAGGCAGAGGTAGGAGGATCACAAGTTCCAGGCCAGCTTAGCCTACATAGCCAGACTCTGTCTCAAAAAAAAAAAAATTAAGTAAGTAACTTGCTCAGTGTCACAAAACTAGGTTAGCAGTCTGTGCAGTGTGTGCAAAGAAAGTAAGAAACTGAACATTAATTAGAATGTCAGAGGCACCGATTTTTGTTGTAGTTAAGTAAAAAGCATTTGCAGAGCAAATGCAGTGCTTGACATATGACAGGTGCACCATAAATAATCATTTCCTTCCTCTGTCCCTTTCTTACTTGTTTTTCCAGCTTTGAAATCTGTGCTCCTTCCTACTACCCCAGGACTGCCTTTCACTGACTAAAGGAATTTTGTCTACTCAACTCACTCATCCAGAACTCAAATAATTGGACTAACTTATCTAACTTATCTCTATATTCTTTTCCAGCTCTGATAGTCAAAGGCCTTGTGGAAACTGTGAACCAAACAGCCAGTCGAATCTAACAGACCAGCAATGGAAGCCCATGCCTGCTGTACTCCATATCACCATCAGGGGGCACCCAGCATCGCTTATGCCATGGGAGAACCCAAACTGAGGCTGTGAGGTTCTGTGCAGGACTTCCCAGAGCTTTGGAAAGGCCATCTCAGTAACCCTCATTCCCCTTCAAAAGAAAGATTTGTATTCTATGGGGAGAAGCTATTTCTACTCCATAAGGGTTGATGAACGAAGTAAGTGTGGAATTACAGCCCAGTGGTTGCTCCAAGGGACCACAGCATGCACTTACCACCATCCACTAGAACATTCTTCCACTAGGAGAGTCCCGGGAAAGTTTGCCACCAACCTCCTCCCTAATTCTGCCTGCTGCTTCACCTCTCTCCAACTCAACCCCCTTTTCCTCTCATTGCTGCCCTATGCCCAGCTCCTGCTCCCAGACTCTGGGAGGGCTGGGGCTCCAGGGCTCTTCAGTTTTCCTTGGTCTGTAAGTCTTCACATTTCTGGTTTCACAGCACAGTTGTTTGTCTTCCACAGTTCAAGTGCTCAGGCCTCTTGCTGGCAAAAGCAGCCTGCTTCCCGTCCAAGGATGTAAATCTCCTTTGACTTGACACCTGGCTACAAGTTGCTAGAGAAATGACCAGAGGGGCTGCCTCTGTAGCTGTCAGATCCACTGGTGACAATCTGCAGATGGAATCCACAGCCCAATTCAAGTCTAAACACTGCAAAAGAGGGCTGACAGTTGGCACATTGGGTGTATGTCGAGCAAGACCCAAGCAGTATGAATTCCTAGACACTCTTCAAGGAAAATTCTATAAACCAGAGGCCCCTCCTCCAAAATCATCTTCTCCCATCCCAGGGCTGACTAGGCAACTTATCCTTAGTGGTGCTGGTAAAATATCCAGAGATGGAGAAAGGAGGCCTTCCTACTTACCCCCAGACTCAAGGGAGACTTCCTTCTCCACTAAGAGCCATAGTTCAAAAGTGGAGCCCTTGCCAAGAAACCTTCCATGCTCAGACACCAGAGCTCTCACACTGCCCTGGGCTGGAAAGGAGAAAATCATCTTTGGTATGCTAACATCCTGAGAGATAAAACCTGGGTTCCAGGGGAAAAGGGAGCTGCATAGGCCAGGTCCAATTCACAGGGAACACCCATATGTGGAAGTGCACTGAGCTTATCCTGAGGGCAGATGAAGATTTTATAACTCCAGGCCCCTGAACCCAGCCAATGCACTGGATCCTGTGATTCAGCCTGGACCATAGTCTTTGTTCATGGGGTTTACCTATGAACCCACAAAATGATCCAGTGATTTCCATAGAACTTTTTTCTCCCCCCAAAGGAAACCTACCAGAGAAAGTTTACAAGGATTCAAATACATTTAAAAAGTACCAACAGACTCAAAACTGTGACTCCAGTTTTACTTCAAGAGGGTAACAGATTTCTGCAGCCCAGCCCAGAAAGGGAATTGGAAGGGGGACAGAGAGAGAGGGAGAAAGACAGAGAGAGAGATCTCATCCATGACATTTGCACAGCACAAACAATGCTCAGTGCCTCCAGATAAACAGACACATAAGGCACTGAACCAAAGTGGTTCCTGATGATAATGAGGCCTTATGAATCTGCCATTGGCTTATAGTATGGAAGATGAAAAATGTTCCATGCCCTGATCCTGGACAAGCCAAGTTACTATGGCTTTGCCACTAACTTGCGACTAGATTCCAGGGGTTTTGAAAGGCAAGGGAGGCGGGAGAATTGAAGATTCAACAGTTCCCTTCACCCAAACAGACTTGTCGGTTTTTGTTTGATGAGGGCTAGGAGGAAAGTGACAGGGATTATTCCTAATTTACTATCTCTGTGCAAAGCCAGCTCTGAGTAAAAGGGAAGGGAGCGAGTGGATTATGAAAAGAAAACAAATGGAGAGAAAATAGGGCAAAGAACAAATTGTATTCTGTAATATTTATTAATTTGATTTTAAATGGAAAAGAAGGAATCTGTTCCAATGGTTCGCTTTCCTATGAACCCTGCAGTGCCCCCAAATCCTGAAGATGTCCTCCTGACACTCCTGTGAGGTAGATCGGAGCTGTTCTGTGTCTAATGTGAGAGAGGCTGGTGCTTAGAGAGCCAGAGTGAGGGAGTCAGGAGGTGACAAATCCCAAACCTTGGCTATTTGTAGTTTCCTGCCCTGGGCCTGGACTACAGAGAGAGCCTAGAGAACACTGAGCTGCTCATCCCGGTGTGGACAGCAGGAGGGAGGGAACTGGAGTGTTCAATTTGCCCTAGACACAGCACACATGTAAGAAAGGTGACAGGCACCCCTCCAAAATCATAAGGCTGCTCCCAGGACAGCTGGGCATAGGCAGCCTGGCACCCCAGCTGCTGAGGTAGTACTGAATTTCAGGGGCAGGGCTTAGAAAACAGAGAGAGAGAGAGAGAGAGAGAGAGAGAGAGAGAGAGAGAGAGAGATGGTGAACCCACTTTGTAAGGGTCCCCTCAGCATTCCATGGTCCAATCAGCAGGTTCTCCAGAGTAGAGTTTTACCACTTGGGGACTCCCTAGGGCTCATTTGGAACAGAGGCCAGAGACTTGCCAAAGGTTCTGGTGCATGGAGTTGTTTCTGTCCTTCAGGCCTAAGAAACTCCCCAGGAAGCCCTAAAGAATAGAGATAACATAGTCTTGGGGTGAAGGGGCAGAGGGTGGGAACCCAGGCATGAGAGGGAAGAGGCAGTGACCTCTTAAATATCCTGCAAAGCATATTTAATTCCATGAAAGCACGGGGACCCACCCAGCCACAAAATCCCACTCCCCAACTCCACCCCAGTCCCTGAGGGGTGGGGCACAAATCCCCACTCACAAGTTACTGGCTCAGTCCCGGCTGTCCTTCATAGAGGAAGTGGATGCTCACTTTCACAGCCATCGAACCTTTGAGAGAAACCAGAGCTGAGGCCGAGGAGTTAGGAGGGCCACTGGCTTGCTATGCAAGTCGAAGCCAAGTCTAGAAACCAAATCTCGAACCTATGGGGAGCCAGAGTTCTCCGGCCACAGCAGCAGTAATTTCTCAGAGTGCCTTGGGTCCCAGGGTGAAAAACACCCCACCTGCCCTGCGTGGCTTCAGCCCTAGTGTTTGGACCCAAGAAAGGAATGTCGGTTCCTACTCCCTGTGCCTTCCTCCCAAGGCAAAGACCCTCTCCAGCCCAACCTTCTTCTACCGAACCCCAAACTCAAAATGGAGACACCGAATGCTTCCTGACCCTGAGCCGCCAGTCTCTCGCCCCAGTTACCTACCTGTTGAGCGGGGACTCAGCCGGGCTGGCCCGAGCCGCAGGGACGTCCGAGGGGTCGCGGGCTGGAGAGGCGGCGGCGCGGGGCTCCTCCAGTCGGCAGCCGCCGCAGCGACACAGAAGACGACGGAAGGCGCTGCGAAAGTCCGGGCTGCGACAGTAGATAAGCGGGTTGAAGGCAGAGTTGGCATAGCCCAGCCAGTTAAGGGCGAGGAAAATCGGGCTGGGAACCACAGAGGGCCCCACTAGGGCGCGCAGCACGTTGGCCAGAAAGAAGGGCAACCAGCAGAGAGTGAAGGTGCCCATGATGAGACCCAAGGTGCGCAGGGCGCGGTGTTCCCGGAGAGGCAGGAGGCGCGCCGGTCGCCGGCCGCAGGAGGGCACTCCCTCGGGCGAAGCGCACGTCCCCGCAGTGGCAGGGGACAGAGAGCGCGACAGGGCCGACGGAGACTCCTCTGGCGGGAAACGGCCCAGCTCCCGGCGCAGCAAGCGCAGTTGGCGCTTAGCCACGACAAAAACTCGCGCGTAGACGAAGAGCATCACAAGAAGCGGAAGGTAGAAGGACACCGAGGAGGAGAGCAGTGCGTAGGGCATGTTGGAGGCGAAGGAACAGCAGCGCGGATTGGAGTGGCAACGCTGCGCCTCGGCGTCGGCCCCTACGCGCCACCACTGGCTCATGATGGGCGCAAAGGACACCGTGGCGGAGACGACCCACACCAGGACCACGGCTGCCCGGGCGCGGCGCTTAGTGACCAGTGCGCCATAACGCAGCGGGTTGGTCACGGCCAGGTAGCGATCCACCGCCAGGGCGCATAGGGTTTCGATGCTGGCAGTTACGCATAGCACGTCCACCGAGGTCCACAGCTCGCAACCAGTAGCGCCCAAGGGCCAGTGGCCAGTCAGCGCCAAAGTGGCCCCGGGCGGCACTACTAGGAGTCCCATCACCAAGTCAGCTACGGCCAGCGAAGTCACAAACACGTTGGTCATGGTCTGGAGTCTCGGCGTCAAGAGGATGGCCACGATTACCAGCAGGTTGCCTCCCACTGTGACTAGCGCCAACAGCGCCCCAGCCAGTGCCGCCGCCCACGGCACCCCTGGCAGCCCACTCGTGTTGGCGGTGTTGGGTGCCAGGGAGGGGGCGTCTGCCCATGAGGCTAGCGAGCCGTTCCCATGAGGCCACGGAGCCATTCCCGTGTCGCGCGTGGGGTGGGAGGGATTCCCCAGGTTCCCTGATTCAGGGGAAGGGGCAGCAGGACACGGGAGCGACTCCCCCAGCCTAGGCCATCTTCGCTAGTTGAAGGGGGTGAGACTGCTTAGCCTGCCCCCCCCATCTCGGCCCCAACTCCCTTGATGCCACGGCTCTGGGAGGGGAGGAGTGGCGGCGTTTAAAGAGGCCGCGGCCAATAGTCTCCCCTGGAGAGGACTCAGAAGGGAGTTGTAGGGTGAAGAGGGAGCCCTGCCTCTATCAGTGCACCCCTGCAATGACCAGCCCCTCGGGGCACTCCCTAGGCCGGGTTTCCTGGAGCTCAGCAGCTCCTTCCCCGCAAGGACCAGGAGCAGCCCTACAGAAAGGGGAAGGGATACCTCCCACCTCAAAGGGGACCTTCCCTAGGCAAACCAAAACACCTACAGTAGCACCCTCTTTGCTTGGGTGCTCTCCCCTAAGGTCTTTTTTATTTTTATTTTTATTTTTGTTTATTCCTTTGTTTGAGACAGAGTCTCACTTTGTAACCTAGAATAGTCTCCAACTGGGGGTTCCCCTGCCTTAGCCTCCCCAGTGCTAGGATTACAAGTGCCAGCCACCACACTCCAGCTCAACCAGTAAATTAAGTAATATCTTCCCCTCTTCCAAGAGCTCAGCAGATGAAATTTGTTCCCTTCACCTTTACTGTTCCACTCATTCTCACTTCCCTTCCAGTTTTCTGTTCTTTTTTGTTATTATTATTGGTGGTGGTGCTGGGGTTTGAACTCAGGGCCTCAAACTTGCTAGGCAAGCAAGCACTTTACCACTTGAGCCAGTCCATCAGCTTTTTTTTTTTTTTTTTTTTGGTGAGACTGGGGTTTGAACTCAGAGCCTCATGCTTGCTAGGCAGGCACTCTACCACTTGAGCCACTCTGCCAGCCCCTGTTCTTTTCTTTTCAGCTGCTGGGGAAATGGCCACATTTCAAGAGTCCTTTTTGTTGCTTACCCATTTTCATTTGGATTTGGCATTGTATAGCATGGGATGCTGAAGGGTTTCATAGCTCCATCTCGTCCCCTCTGCACTGCCCCTTCCACATATCCTCTACTCAGAAATTTTCTGGATAGGCCTCTTCAAATTCTTCTGTCATTAAGACATTAAAAATGGCTGAGTGGAAGCCATGCATGGTGATGCACTCCAGTAATTCCGGCACTTGAGAAGCTGAGGCAGGTGGGTCACAAGTTAGAGCCTAGCCTGGACTACATAAAGAGACACTGACTCTAAATAAAATTTAAAAACACAAATGGTTGGGACTGTAGATCAGTAATTGATCGTTTGCTTAAGATGCTGGAGGCCTTGGGTTCAATTTCTAGCGACACCCATGCAAGGATAAATGAGAACTGAAGGTGTAGCTTGGTGGTAGAAGTGTGCTTAGCATGACTGAGACCCTGGATTCAATCTCAGCATGCCCCCCCATAGTCTTCCATCACCATCCTCTCAATGGTAAAGTGTTCACATCACTTCCTTGAAGATTTTATTCATGAGCTTTTAGGAACCAGAAGACACTGAGCTGAGGAACTCATGCATTGGGGTTTTTAGCGTGAAGGACAGGCCTGGTATTTTAATGCCTCTGAAGTCTCTCACACAATCATAGGTTTCTCTAAGTTTCCTAAGGTTCTCACACAGGTTTCCCTCACTTGAAGAAAGCCCAGAGCCTTCTCCCACTTCTCATCCCCTCACCCAGACTTAAAAGACCTAGTTCTGCCTGCCCAGTCTCCCAATCTCTAAATCAGTTCCTCTCAAATTGGGTGTGGGGAGGGAGAGGTTGGAAAATAAGGCCCTAGGTTCAAGTTGAGGGGCAGAAAGATGTGATACCTTTATGAAGGCCGGTCAGGACCTGATCCTTGATCCGTCTTGCTTCCTCTCCTGAAACAATGGGACAAAAAAAAAAATCATGGAAAATGCCTCCCAGGCTATGCACTAGCCTGTTCTTTTGAACAGCTCTATATTTCAAAGGCGCCCTGTATAGTCGCTGATCTAAGTGATCCCTCTGGGAGGCTGAGCCAGGGGTCGGGAGTCAGAAAGGTTGGAGGGGAAGAGAGAACCTAAAATTATCCCCGAGGAAAAAGAACCAGCTGGGCTCCCAGGGACCCAGCAGCTCACCCATGAGCAGGATTTTCAGTACCCACACAGGCGTTGGATCCATGGAAATGCCCAAGGGGTAGTCGGAAAGGCAGCACACACACACCCCCACTCCCTGGCCAGCTCCCAGTCATGCCAGGGTGGTGCAGGCCCCACTTGGCCATGGCTTCTTGCTGATCATCAAGGCGATCAGTCCCAAGTCGAGTTTTGCAACACCCCAGAGTGTTGCCAGTTATCTCAAAGGAGTGTCATAAGATTTTAGCAATCTCTAAAACAAATACATACCATTCGGCAATTTTTTTCTAGGACATTAGAGTTGGTGGGGGGAAGGGAAAGGGGTTCTGAGAAGTCAAGCAACTACAAAGGATGTCATTGCTTAAGGAGGTGATCTTCTTATATGAAAATATTTTAATGTAAAAATGTTTACATTGAAACAACAACAAAAAAAAAACCTCAAGATTTCCCAAACCACATGAGCATGAGTTTGGGAATGACTAGGCCAAAAAACCAAAGGACACTGTGAAAAGAGATACCCAGAGCCCTGTTAGCAAAGGCTTTCTGAGCGAGTCGAGGGATGTCAGAGCACTTGGCCTTTTTCCTCTGCTCCAGCTTTTTCCTCTCATTCCTTACTCAGACTGGTCTCCCCCAGCACAGGCAACAAACAGGGAGAAGGGCTCCCTCTTTCACACTTTGGTCTGTGAAATTGTTCCCTTTTCTTTAGTAGCTATACATTTGCATTATTCGATTATCAAAATATACAAAATGCATATAACAGAAATGATGCACTGTCATCATTTCCATAGCAAGTTACCAAAGTTACCACCATTAGCATACTGCTTGTTCTTCCAAGAATAATTTTTTTTTGAGACAGGGTCTCTCAAGGTAGCCCAGGCTGGCCTCAAACTCACTATGTGACCCAGGTTTGTCCTAAAACTCACTGTGTAACCCAGGCTGGACTCAAACTAATGATCCTTCTGCCCCAGTCTTCCTAGGGCTGGAATCACCACCACACCCAGATCCTCGATGTTTTATATGCATACTGTTCAATACATATGTATATATATATATATATATATATATATTCTTTTGTCCTTTCCTTTTCACACAAACATAAGCCATTCTATACATTTCTTTTCTAAAAGTTTTTATTAGTATACGATAGTTATACAGGGGGTTTCGTTGTAACATTTCCATATGTATATGTATACATATTGTATATTTCTTATTGTACCTTAACTATTTATCTGTGATTCTTGTAGATCAACATACAAAGGATTCTCATTTTTAGTGTTCTATTGTATGGATACACCATAATGTATGAAGCCAATTGTTTACTCACAGATATCTAGTTTACTATCTACCTTTATTAAGAGATAATGTTGCAAGGAATCACCAGTCTACGTGACATTTTATATGTGTGTAAGTGTATTTTTCAGGATATGTTTCTACAAACAGAATCACTACATACAAGGTTATGCATTTGCAAATTTGGAAGTTATTGCCAAATTGCACTCCCCTGGCAATGTACCCATTTACACTCTACCCATCATTTTTGGTGGCCAACAGGGGGTTGGAGGCAAGTGGCCTGCTGCTCTGGGACATTGTCCTAATGACTGGCCCAAGGGGAATTAGCACTGCTTGGTTTGTAGAGGTCATCCAACTATGGACAGACACATACATTGCCTGAGCGAGCACTGCTCAGGCCTCCAACCCCCAGATGACCTTTGTTCTGTGCCCTTGGAAGCAGTGAATGTGGGCTCTGAATCTACAAAGGTCAGATCCCCTCACCCCCTGCCACCACCAGGTTGCTATAATGTGTCAGGGCTATTCGTGATTTAGAATATGTAGTTGGCAGAGTCAGAGGGAACCTGATGGGCAGAAGTTCTCTCCAAAGCCGACAGCGACCATCCATTTTCAGCTTTTGGAAATAATGTGTGGCCTCTGAACAGACTGTTTGGTGTTTGCTGTTTCTCCTTTTGCCACAATTAATTCAGGTGTCAGAGAGAAAGTAGTATACAAATAAGAGACAAAAGTGGTCTTAAAGATCAACCCCAATACCAACACTTTGCAGAATTAAAATAGTGAGGCCTGGCCAGGCACTGGTGGCTCACGCCTGTAATCCTAGCTACTCAAGAGGCAGAGATTAGAAAAATCAAGTTTCTAAACCAGCCCCGGTAAATAGTTCCAAAGATGCTATCTTGAAAAAACCCATCACAAAAAAGCACTGGTGGAGTGACTCAAGGTGTAGGTCTTGAGTTCAAACCCCAGTACTGTTTAAAAAAAAAAAAAAAAAGCAGTGAGACCCAAAGGAAACTGAGGCCTGTTCATGATCACACAGTACAGGTTCAAGTACACAGGCACCTTAGAAGCTGGTTCTTTTCGATAACACCAGCCCTCACTCCAGCCATGCTGTGGCCAGCCACCTTCTAGTCTGTTCTCCAGGGGGGCCCAGAATGGATAGTATCCCCCAAGGGGTAGAGAGGGGAAACTTGCCAGACTAAAGAGAAGCCCCTAAGCTAAGACTTTTGTTATTCTTTGCACACATGTCTGGTTTGGTTTCCAAGGTTTGGCTCAGATGAGCTTGAAGAAGAGGCAAAGAAGGAGCCTCCATTCTTGGGGAAAAACAGGTATTTGGAGAAGGTGGGCATGGTGGCACAGGCCCATAATCCCAGCACTTGAGAGGCTGAGACAGGAGGATTGCGAGTTCCAGGCTAGCCTGAGCTACCTAATGAGACCCTGTCTCAAAAAAAAAAAAAAAAGCAGGTTTGAGGCCCTAGGGATGGAATCCAGCTCTATCACTCAGCTGCATCCCAACCCTGTGCCTTCTCTTTTAGTTCCTGGCCATCAATGAGAGAAGAGACCAAGAAATGGCTCTTTCATTCCTGAGGTAGGAAGCAAAATTCTTGTTCTAGTCTCTGAATAATCATTAAATCCTCCACTATCAGAGAAGGGGCTCCCAAGGCTTGGA